TCGTCCGCGAAAGTAAGAGTCAAGAAGTACCTGAAGACTCAATTAAGCCGAGGAACTGTGCCTGCATCTCATGCTCGGTCTCCCAGGTAGCCTCCTCAACTGGACGATGTCTCCAATGGACCTTAACCACAGGAATGGCTCTGGAACGCAATCGTCTGACATCTCTGGCCAAAATAGCAACTGGCTCCCCAATACATCTCAAACTATCATCCAAGTCAACTGCATCATACTGAATCACATGGGACTCATCTGGAACATACCGACGCAACATCGAAACATGAAAAACTGGGTGAATAGCTGAAAAGGCCAGGGGCAAAGCTAACTCATATGCGACCTCCCCAACTGTCCTCAATATCTCAAAAGGACCTATATACCTGGGGCTAAGCTTGCCCCGCCTCCCAAATCTCATTACACCCTTCATGGGAGACACACGGAGGAATACTCTATCACCAACCGCAAATTTCAACGGTCGACGCCTACGGTCTGCATAAGTCTGATGTCTACTCTGGGCTATCCTGAGCCTATCTTGAATCACCCTCACATGATCTAAAAACTCTCGCATCAAGTCTATACCGCGCGGCCTGGGCTCTATAGACTCAAACCAATCAACTGGAGAGCGACAACGCCTACCATATAAGGCCTCGAATGGGGCCATCTGAATACTCGAGTGGTAGCTGTTGTTGTACGCAAACTCTGCCAAAGGCAAATACTGGTCCCACTGACCCCCAAAATCCATAACACACGCCCGCAACATGTCCTCAAGAACCTGAATCGTGCGCTCCGACTGACCATCAGTCTGCGGGTGGAAAGCTGTACTAAGGTCAACACGGTTACCCAACTCATCCTGGAAGGTCCTCTAGAAGCTAGAAGTGAACTATGGGCCCCGGTCTGAGATAATGGAAACAGGCACACCATGAAGACGAACCACCTCTCGAATGTAGATACGTGCTAACCTCTCAGCACTGTAGGAAGTATGGACAGGAATGAAGTGTGCTGACTTGGTCAATCGATCCACATGACCCAAATACTATCAAGATCACGGGAAGTGCGGGGTAATCCTACAACGAAGTCCATGGTGATCCTCTCCCATTTCCATTCAGGAATGGGTAATCTCTGAAGCTCGCCAGAAGGCCTCAAATGCTCGGCCTTAACCTGCTGACAACTCAAGCAACGTGATACATAATCCGTAATAGCTCTCCTCATGCCGCTCCACCAGTTGTGCTGTCTCAAGTCCCGATACATCTTAGATGTGCCCGGATGAATATAATATTTGGAGTCATAGGCCTCGGTAAGAATCATCTGAATCAAACCCCCAACTCTTGAAACACAAAGTCGATCACCAAATCTTAAAACCCCATCTAAATCTAAGGTAGCCAGGCCAGTGTCACCTCCCAAAACTCGATCTCGAAGTGCCACTAAGTCCTCATCCTCAACCTGATGGCTGCGAATCCGATCCAGCAAAGATGACTGAGCATCCACATAAGCTAGTACACACCGGGAGTCAGAGATATCAAGCCGTATCATCCAGTTAGCTAAGGACTGGATGTCCAAAGCTAATGGTCGCTCCGTAGTAGAAAGAAAGGCTAGACTACTCATACTCACTGCCTTCCGACTCAAGGCATCCGCTACTACATTCGCCTTGCCCGGATGGTAGAAAATAGAGAGGTCATAGTCCTTCAGGAGCTCAATCCAACGGCGCTGTCTCGAATTAAGATCCCTCTGGCTCATAATGTACTGAAGGCTCCTGTGATCAGTATAGATCTCACATCGAACTCCATACAGGTAATGCCTCCAAATCTTAAGCGCAAAAACTACCGCCGCCAACTCTAAGTCATGAGTGGGGTAGTTGCGCTCGGGCGGCTTAAGCTGCCTCGACACATAAGCAATAACGTGGCCCTGCTGCATCAGTACACAACCCAAACCAATGCCGGATGCGTCACAATAAATAGTAAACCCCTCGCCCTCAACTGGAAGAGTCAATATATGAGCGGTGGTAAGCAACTCCTTAAGCCTCAGAAAGCTCCTCTCACACTTCTCCTCTCACACAAACGGAACATCCTGGAGAGTCAATCGAGTCAAAGGCGCTGCTATAGTAGAAAATCCCTCAACAAAATGCCTGTAGTAGCCTGCCAATCCGACGAAGCTACGAATCTCCATCACAGAGGTGGGCCTGGCCCAGTCATGAATGGCCTCAATCTTAGCGGGATCTACCATAATGCCATCCTTAAACACCACGTGCCCCAAGAATGCTACGGCCTCAAGCCAAAACTCGCACTTTGAGAACTTGGCATAAAGTCGTTGGCCTCTCAAAGTCTGGAGCACTATCCTCAAATGCTGCTCATGCTCCTCCCGGCTCCGCGAGTATACTAGAATGTCATCTATGAAGACTATGACAAACGAATCCAAGTACGACCTAAACACCCTAGTCATCAAGTCCATGAACGCGGCAGGGGCGTTAGTCAACCCAAAAGACATCACTAGGAACTCATAGTGGCCGTAACGAGTCCTAAATGCAGTTTTAGGGACGTCCGCTGCCCTAATCCTCAACTGATGGTAGCCGGATCTTAAATCAATCTTAGAAAATACCACGGCATCCTGAAGTTGGTCAAATAGATCTTCAATCCTAGGCATGGGGTAATGGTTCTTCACCGTCACCTTGTTCAACTGCCTGTAGTCGATGCACAATCGCATAGTACCGTCTTTCTTCTTCACAAAGAGGATTGGGGCACCCCAAAGCGATACAATAGGCCGAATGAATCCCTTATCTTAGAGATCCTGAATCTAAACACTGAGCTCCTTGAGCTCTACGGGGGCCATACGGTACAGTGGTATAGAAATGGGCTTAGTGCCCGGCTCTACTTCAATAGAAAAGTCAATGTCACGATCAGGAGGGAGACCAGGCAGATCGGCAGGAAACACATCTGTAAACTCTCAAACAATAGGTACTGAATCAACGGTAGGACCCTCCCTACTAACATCTCTAACATAAGCTAAATAAGCCAAACACCCCGCTAGCCATCAACCTCTGGGCCCGAACAAAAGATATCACCCCAACTGGCGTGCGACTGCAAGAGCCCCACCACACCACTGGTGGAATACCAGGCACGACTAAAGTAACGGTACTTGGCATAGCAATCCAAGACCGCACGGTGGGGGGAGTAACCAATCCATACCCAAAATCAAATCAAAATCCACCATGTCAAGCAAAATGAGATCAACCCTAGTGTCTCGCCTCTGAATAGTCACCACACAGGATCTAAATACCTGATCCACTACTAAAGAATCACCTACCGGGGTCAAAATACGCAACGGCTCAACCAATAGCTCTGGGCTCATACTCAATCGAGGAGCACAATAAACAGATATATAAGAATAAGTAGAGCCTGGATCAAATAATGCGGATGCGCGCTGATAGTATAATAACACTGTCCCTGTGATCACATCGTCCGAGGTCTCAGCATCTACTCTAGCTGGAGCTGCATAAAAGTGGGCTTGGGCTCCCCTACCCTGTGCATTGGCTCTGCCCCCTAACCTGCCTCCTCGGGGACCACCCCGTATACCCTGGTGACCATCTCTGCGGTCCTGTCCCTGGCCTCCGCCTCTAGCTGGAGGTGCAGGCGCTGGCACATGCCTAGCTGCTTGTGGAGCGGGTAAGGCTAACTTGCGATGGGGACACATACGGGCCCAATGATCTAACTCCCCACACTCATAGCACCCCTAGGACTGTCGACTGAGAGCTGGAGGTCGGCTACCATGGCCAGAAGAACCCATCTGTGAACTATCTCGGCCCCGACTAGGATCGGCACTAAAACCAATATGGCGGTGTTATCACCCTCCGATGCCTGGAGAGAGGCCTAGAAGGGCGACTAGACTGACTCGACTGAAACCTCTGCTGAGATCTATTTTCGACTCCGAACAAGTCCGGAGCATCGAAATTTAAGTTTGAAGAGTTGTTGAATTCTAACGCGGTAGTGATGTGGCAGATCCACGCGACGCCACGTGGCAGCGTGTTGAAATCTGGAAATTTCCAGATTTAAGGACAATTTTCGTCCATTTTTTTTCCTCATCTTCAAACATAGATATCTCGTCCATTTTAAGCTCAAATTAGGTGATTCAAAAGGCTAATTTCAAGAGAATTTTGTGGGGAATCTAGAGGTGAGCTCAGAAACGCGAGGGGAGGCTTCGTTTGAGGTAAGGAACCGAACTTAGCTACTGCTAGAGTGATTTTCGGAATGATTTTTTGTTAAACTTTGAAAGGTTAGATCTTGATCATCTTAGGTCCATTTTGAGTCATTTTTGAGGCTTACTTGTAGAGTTTTTCGCAAGGATCGTCGTGGTATAATCTGTTTGAGTTGGAAGGGTCTCGTTTTTCCAGAAATTAGTGATCAAGGGGCTGCCAAGTCATGAGTCAAAACTTATTAATGATTTTAATTGTTGGGGCTGATTTTCTACGTTTTAGACATCTTTTTGTGCTAAATTTTGGGGTATTAGTTTAGTAAGGTGTTTGGGACGTTTTTCACGGGATTCGTTTTTTGGGGATTTCCAATTTGTGGGTCCAACAATCCCATTTTAGACCCAATTTTTGGTCCGTCTCCGAAAAATATAATTTTAGTGTCAACATATTTGTAATGACGAGGTGATTAACCTTTTGATAGTGGGGAAGCATTTGGAGACCGTTCGGAGGGGAAAAGCTCTGGTACCGTGAGTTGGAGCACGCGTGATCGGCTTTCAGGTAGGCTATGGTTTTCCCCTCGTGAGATTGACCATGTTTAGGCAATTTTTTATTGATTTGCTTGAGTATGGAGGGTTCGGGTGTCGATCATGCTAAATTTCTATAATTCCTGCCTTAGACCTTATTTCGGGAAATTGTTGGATTATGACAGCATGACTCTTGATATTATTGAACATCCATACCTTGTGGTGTATATGATAATATTGATTTGAAGTATGTTTGGCCTTAGTCTAGGCTTAGACTAGTGTTTCCATAGACTTGCGAGGTTTTGAATGTCGTTGGGCAGTAGAACTTTTTCCGACGTTGTTTCTGTAACACCCCAGAAAATTTTTCGAACTAAGACTCGAACCGTTCTTCGTAGTGAGTGAGATTTTACCAAGGAATAAAAAATTTCTTGAGTGTTAAGGTCACTAGATGTAACACATTGAGTTTCAAAAAGAATTAAATTGGAAATAGCAAAATCTGAAATTTTGCAAATTATACTTAAGTATGAGTTTTGGGTCGACTTCAAACGACCATAACTTCTAGCTCAAGATGAGTTAGGTGTGATACCAGATACCGTAGGAAAGACCTTTAAATTATATTTCCAACGCCACCAAGTTTGCTAAGTTTAGAGGTCGGATGAGTGAGATATGACCTTTTTAAATTAGGCTGTCCAGTTAAGGAAAGTCAAAACCGGGTTTTAGAGGGGTATTTTGGTCTTTTCCTTACCAAAACAGATTTGATTCATTTTTAATAATATTTTAAGGGTCTAATTTGATTAGGTTCAGTTTTATAATCCTAGTTTACGCCTAGGGTTTTAGTTGAGAGTTCAAGAACAGAAAAGAAGAGAGAAGAGGAGAAAAGAGGAAAGGATGAAGGCGTTCGTCGACGTTCTTGAGAGTTATTGCGGATTGTCGCCATGGGTTTGATCCCTACGAGGTATGTAAGCTTCCATAGTGTTGGGTTCTTTCACCCACATGCCAATCATGATTTATTCAGCGTAATTTCGTTCTTGAAATTTAAAGATTAGAATTCTTGATGAGTTCTTGATAAGTGTGTTGAAGTTTCATTAAGTTTTAATGTAAGATTCTGATTGGGTCAACTTTAAACGACCATATCTCTTAGAATATTAAGAGTTACGTGAGCCATAACCTATCCAATTAAAGGTAATTGAATCTACTTTCCAACGCCACCAATTTCACGTCAATCCAATTTCTGAGTAAAAAGTTATGACTATTTTAGTAGTCTATACAGTGCTGTTACGAATTAGCTGACGGGAAAATACTAAAAAGAGTCGTTTTTGTCTTTTTACCTCCAAGAAAACCATAAACGAATTTCTTGACTAATAAAAGGCTCAAAACAATCAGATTTTCATCCTCACTAATGAAAATCATAATTCTTGGCCATAAAGATTTCAAGAAACTAATTCAAGAATCTCAAGAAAGGTTTTTCTTGATTGTTTACCTTCAAGCTAGGGTTTCAAGGCTTCTAATCAAAATCTTCTACAAGATTCTTCAAGATTCTTAAATATTCTTCAAGAATCTTGTTCTTCTAGGTATGTAAGGCTATCATAGTGTTGGATTAGTTCGTCCTTACGAACTACATCTACTTTCAGATCAGTAAAAGAGTAATCTAGGATACTTTCCCTAGATTTGAGTATTCTTGAGATAAGTTGATTTTGAGTTCTTGAATTCATGTTTCTTTTAAAAGTTCTATTCCTAATTATCGAATAGCTATATTGTTATTCAGATCCTTCATATCATGAATCATAACTCTTGAATTCATAATTCATAATTCAAATTCAAGAGAGAGTTAAGAGTAGAGTTCAAAGAAGCCTTTGAGTTCAATTGTGAATCCTTTGAGATCAACTATCGATTTGAACTAAGTTTTGAGGAAGTAAGTCAGAGAATGAGAAGAGTCACATACATGAGTTTTATAATGTTATGTAGACCTACGAGTCAAGTCATTCATGCCCATAAATTCTGTATGAACTCCAAAAGGCATCTGTCGGGCTTATGGGGGTCCGTGCAGGTGGTTTTCTTTATTGTACACAAGCGTACCCATCGGGTTTATGGGTGCCCGGTGGAGTTAGTTAGATTCCTTGTCTTTGTTTCCTGTCCGCTCGTGTACATACCCACATTTACTACTCTTTTACCCTTGATTGTGACCCTTTATTTGCATTTTAGTTCACTTTTGCTTATCTTGCTCAGTCGGCCTGATGCCTACTGGGTACCTGTTGTTTTGGTACTCATACTACACTCTGCATTTATTTTCATGATGCAGGTCCGAGTACTAGCTACCGACGTTGATTCGAGCCAGCTGCGGTCATGATCGGAGGCAAGGGTGAGCACACAACGTCCTGGATTTGCTCGTCTCCTTCTATACTTACTTTTGCTTGTCTTTTGCCTTTTTAGATAGCTTGTTTCTGTGGTCCACTTTTAGGACTTGTACTTTTGTTAGCAGCTCTGTACTTGTGACTTCCAGGTTTTGGGAGGGATTCATTTTGTGTAGATATGTCTAGTCGCTTTCGCCCGTTCATTGCATGTTC